GGGTATTTACAAAGTTATGGTATCTTTTACATAAAATGACTAGTTCATATCCTGATTTAGAATTTAATCTGTCCTTTAATTTCTTCCACCAATTATGTATTTATTGATACATTGAAGAATCATACTGTGTCATAGATCCTGAGAATAATAACTATATCTGAATCTATAGAAATTACGTGTGTGTATACGAACTTCTATTTACAAATAATGTTTCCAGGATTGTCTGACAACGTTTAATGATCATAAATTTCCAGCTCATGTTTTGTAGTCGCAATCAATTTATCACTGAAATAATTTTTGAGGCGTAAAATAAAGTATGTTTCCTATTTGCCTGTTTCATATTCAGCCCTGAAGTCTTGTCATCCTCCTCGATCTTCTCCTCATTGCCAGGAGATGGCGCTGTGGGTTTTAAATAGCAGAGCTAAAATCCCCAAGCCGAAATGAGCCCTTTCCAGTTTGTTTCTTTCTTAATTCGTGGACACCACACAAGCCCTAAAAGTGTTCATCTTTTTTGTCCTACCAATTTTTCTTTTTTAAAAAATTTCGAGTGTTTTCCCAAGTTCGATAATGATATTATGCCAGGGAGGAAACACGTGTAACACAAATAGGAACCTCAGCCTCTAGGGAGAGTGACTGAGTGCAGGAGTTTGTTCCAGGTAAGGAAGGAGGGAGGGAACTCCTCAGAAACTCCTTTTACTAGTTTTCCTCGATCTCCACCCATATATACATTGTTCTCTGGGGTCGCAGCAGGGTCAGGTAGGGGCCAAGTGTTTGGCTCCCGGTACCGCGCCCCTCCCCTTAAAAGTCCCCACAATCGCAAAGACCCGGCGGGGGCTGGGGAACCGCCTGCGAGCCCGCGTGGGGCGCACATTCGCGCCGGAAAAGCTGCTTCTCGCGGGGGCTGAGAGTTTCCCCTCACTGTCTGTGCAAACTTAGGCTAACGTGTCGCCAAACAGGCGTGAGGATCAACCTCTTTTCTTTAAAATACATAAAGAAGAGAAAAATCTTCCCGAAAGAACTTTAGATCAACAGGTTTCAACGTTTCCACGGTCGAAGTCCTCGGAATTGCCAAGCACTTCAGAGCAATTGCAAGGCTGGGGCCCTTGGCGCACTGCCAGGAATGTTCCAGCTCCCATGGCCCCAGCACCCTCGCTGCCCTCCTCGTTAGCCCGGCCAATCCCCAAGACACACATGGACTCATAATATCTCTCTTCAGTAAGCTTTGTAGGACCTGAGAAAGAGGGTGAGAAAATACTGATGACAAAACGACACCGAAAGGCTTGACTTCAGGAGCTTTGATGGGCTTGCATCTCTGCGCTTACGCCCCCAAACCCCGCGGAGGCGCAGGATGATGAACCTTGGTTGTGTAGGCTTCAAGCTGACCCAAGTGCCACCAGACGGCGCAGGGCGTGCGAGGGGCAGGGGTAGGCAAATACAGCTTCAAGGTCAGCGTGCTAACGACTGGGGCTGGAGACAGCTAAGGGTGTCCCGGCCTGGAGCGCTGAGGATGCGCCCTGCTGCGGCGCGTTGGATGCGGCCGTGGGTTGGGGAAGGGGGGACTGAGAGACTCTACTCCCCCGGCAGTCTCTCCGGAGGGTCTCCGCGGTCGGGGCAAGATGTGACCTTCCAGGCTGGACTTCTCCGCAGCGAGGGCAGCACAGCCCGGAAAGGATTCTCATCACTCTTAGGGAGTTTGCTTTTCCAGAGCAGCTCTCAAGCGAAATTTCACGTCATTTTTGCCAAACTTTGCTCTTAATTTTAGAATGTACTAAATAGATAATTGAAACATACATACACAAGGACAATTCTCCCTTTCAGAAAACACACACAAACACCCAAATCCCAGTGTTCCCAGGTTCTCCTAACTTTTTGATTTAGATAAGCAATAAACTGTTTATCAGGGCTATAGAAATAACGAAGGGGAACTCCTGGGTTTGCTCTTGAAAAGTAGATTTGATTATGTTCCGTTCTGATTGGGTTTAGGTTCCTATTTCAAATTTCAAGCAAATATTAATAGAGATGATCACTAAGAAACTTAAGTATGACCTAAAAAATTAGTTTGGTCTGAAGCTCAATGCTCTAATTTCAATGAGGTGCTGCTTGCTGAATATTTCAGAATCCTTTCAAAGCCTTTCCAAGTGGGTCTATTCCCTCCTGCTGTAACAAAAATGTATTCATCTTTGCACAACAGGCTCCAGCACCTGTCAATTTGGTACCCAACACGCGGCAGAGGATGCTCCCTGTCCTGATGTAGGTTGGTCAACCAGCCAAGCACCAAGGGCGCCTTGCAGGGTATTCCTGAACCGCGCCCACCCGCCCGTACGGCTCGCGGGGTGGTCTGAGCTGCCCCCACCTCGCTTCGGGCAGAGGAGAGTCCTCTGCGTTTCCTGTCCCTCAGTTGCTTCAGGAACTCACAGTGACCCCTTCTCAAACTGCACAGAGTCAGAGGATTTAGCTTCTGACGCTTCATTCTCAGGGGTCATCTGTGGGTCAGGAGTTTTCTCGCGAGCTAATTTCCCACCCTTTCTTCCCGGACAACCAGAAAGTGTTTGTTTTGGTTTTTCCTTTGCTACCTTTCCAGCTTGCTAGTTACATCAGGAGCCGCGGCCCTTTCCCCGCTTGTTGGTGGAACAAAGTTCAAGCCTACAGTTTTCTAGAGCTCCTGCGGCCCGAGGGCACTAGGTGAGCAGCTGACGACAGTCCTTCGCCGCCCGAAATCAGGCGGCGGGATCCCACTAAAGGGAGGAGAGAGAACCTAGGCCGTGACTTAGGGCTGGCGACGATTAAACCAGGTAACGAGACACCAGGCAGATGTGTTTTCATTGCCTTGTAAGATAAATGCAATGTTAAGTGCCTGACAACTTCCCAGAAGCAATCAGCAAAAGTTTACGAGTGCATAAACTTCAAAGACCATTCACCGATGGTTGTTACAAGGCCCACATTTAAAGCTTCTATAAATTCTCCCGCAGTTTCCCAAAGCTACGTTTCCAGAAACTATCCAGCAGCCACCTCCTCCCGGGAGACCAGGGGGATTTTCTCGAACCACCAAAGAGAGGGAGTTTTGGCTCCTACTGAGTGAAATAAAGTTGCGCAAAAGTTTGGTCCAGAAGTTTGAAAGGCCAGGGAGAGGAGGGAGGGTGGAACGAGGGAGTGGAGGAGGAGTCCGGGAAGGGCCACGAGGTGCTCTCCGGCGCTAAGTTTCTGACAGCGCGAAGGACCAGGGTCGGGGAGGGTCCCAGGTTAGCCGGGCAGGCGGCGCCTTAGCCGCCTTCGGCGGTCGCTCCTGCTCGGCCATTCGGGCCCTGCAGGTCATGTCCCGGTCTGGCGCCCATAGCTAAGCCCGAGCTTCCACGCGATCCGGGCATGGTCGATCCTTCGCCCTTCTAGTGCCCGCTGAGGGGCCAGTAGGAAGCTAGGTGTCCCGCGGAAAGCGCCAGCCCTTAGAAAGGCAGGTCGGATGGAGAACCGAGTCAGACATCAGGGGACGTGTCCCACTCCGCCCCGAGCCACGACGGTGCCAGCCTCGGTCCTCCGGTTAAGTGCCCAGAGAGCTCTGGTAAGTTAGTGTCAGGCACACAAGACTCACCTATGTTTACAGAGAACCTTTGTTTATGATCCCAGTGAAAACAAAGCTGCTAATTGAAAAACAGTAACAGGAGCGTGTCTTTAGCTTCCTAAAGGGAGAGTTTCACAGCTGCGAGCGCCCGGGGAGGGGCGGGGGCTGGGGAAGCGGTGAGTTTGGGGCCGCCCTGCACGTCAACGTGCTTTTGGGTCCCCAGCGAGACACGTGAGCCAGCGCAAGCCTTCCAGAACCGCCGGCCTGGGTACCGGGCAGGAAAGCCTCCCGCAGCCCGCCAGCTCTTTCTCAGTCTTTGGGCTTCAGTAAATCCGAAGGCGCGAAGGTAACCGAGGACTGAGAAGTATTTCTGTCCCGGTGAGACTGAATCTCAGGCAATTATTTTCGAAAGATAGCGCTCGGCCCCTTTTCATCCTTTCCAGGTGAAAATGCAGACGCTTCTGTGTCGTCCTCACCCCTCCATGATGAAATAAGGCGCCCAACTGTTCAGATATTACCATTCAAAAACAGGTTCTGTGGCGAACCTCATTTGTGAATCTATTACAGAGATTAATAGATTATTTCTCCTTTTTCAACTAATTCTCAGTGGGGAAATTTAACCATATGGTAAGGAGAGAATTAGAATTTCATCACATTAGAGCAAAATGTAATGAAAAGAGTCCAACACCTGGGGCCAACTCTGAAAGCCACAATTAAAAGGTTTTTAATGAAACCAGAGAAACCAAAAATTTCATAGGCTTCAGTAATTCTGCCACATAAGAAAGATTTATTGGAGGTGTTGGGAAATATTGTTTTTACTTATGTCCTAAGGATGAAAACCAGCCGCTAAATACCACGGGCTCCCAGACAGCTAACTCAGGAGCGAGAGGACCGCGTGTACCCTTTCGCATCCGCAGAGGACGCTTGTTCCACGGTTCTCCCCTTACCAGCCCTCCAAGAACAGCCAGGCAGATCCAGATGTCCCTGAAGGGCTTCCTAGCTGTCGGTTACGTTTCCTGGTAAATAAATATGCACAAATGCCCCGCTTGGTGTGTCAGAGGAGTTGACTCCTGGTGAATTTGCCTATTCTGAAACAACTGGATTTTAATCTTGAGGAAAGTTTGAGAAATCACTTTCTTCTCGTTTAGGAAATCATGTGCCTCATAATCACCATCACTGTAGCAGTTACTTAGTGCTGCAAAAGCACCCCTTCCTTTAAAAAAAAGAAATATCTAATGGGCTGCATAATCAACTTGCTCTTCATTTTCCTTTTTTTCCCCCCATCGAGTAGGAAATGGGCAGTGGAGGGGAGGGGGTGAAAATAAGGCAGTGTGTGCAAGTGGACGATCGCTTTGCTCTCTTACTAGCTGAGAATCTTGGGTGAATTTGGGGCAAGTCAACGGGGGGGGGGGAGCCATCACTTGCCCCGAAAGCCCCATCTCCTAATTCAGGCCACAGTCATCCTACGAACAGGGCTGGAGTATAATTCTCGCCCGGAAGAATAATTTAGCTCAAGATGAGACAGCAGTGGCGAGGGAAGGGCAGTGGGGGTGGGGCGTGGTGGATGGGGGCGTCTGCTTTCCACGGGACTCCCAGGCTTCGCCGCCGATCTACAATTTGCTGAAGGAGCAAAGAACATCCTCGGCTCTAAGTAGGGCTTTTAGTGTGCTCATTGATGAGTGAAAGTCGCCACACATGTCAAGCTAAAGGCAGTTGTTGGGTTACTAACAGGACCCAGCGCCTTGCAAACATATGCGCTAAGCTGTGTATACAGATGGCAGGCAGAATAATGGAGCAGGCGCCTTTTATAAAGCTCTAGCTGCTGCCTGTCTTCAGACCTGGGAAATGAAACTATTCAGACTCGCGGCCAGATAGCGCCTGCGATTGTTTGTTACCGTTTTAATCCTATTAATTAAAACGTTAACCTGATTGGGTAGAAAGCGCTGTCCCAACAGGCGAGTCTTCTTCATAATAACCTACTCAGAGATAATGATGTAAAAGACTCCCCCGTCTGTGGCGGCGGCTGGTTGATGGGTCCGGAAATCTCTTGAAGGTGAATCCAAGCAAGATAAACGGTGCGGAGAGGAGGCGCGGGGCTGGGCTCAGAGCGGCGGCGGCAGCGGCGGCGGCTCCACTCCCTCCGCGCCCACCCTCCCACCATGCGGGGCCGCGGCCCATGGTGAGCCCCAGCAGCCAGCACCATCGGCTGGAGACGAAGAAGAAGAAGAAGAGGAGGCGGCGAGCGCGGGGGAAGGCGAAAAAGAAAAAGAAGGGGAGAGGACCGCCAGCAGCACCGGGACCGACGCGCGCACCAGCCCCGGAGCCCGGCTCGGGCGCGTCTGCGGCGCCGCCCGACTCCCGAGCCGAGGCGGCGGCGGCCGGCGGGGCGGGCCGGGGCTGCGCGCCGGCGCCGGACGATGGAGCGCGGGCTGCACCTCGGCGCGGCCGCCGCGGGCGAAGACGACCTTTTCCTGCACAAGAGTCTGAGCGCCTCCACCGCCAAGCGCTTGGAGGCGGCTTTCCGCTCCACGCCCCCGGGCATGGACCTGTCCCTGGCGCCGCCGCCCCGGGAGCGCCCGGCGTCGTCCTCCTCGTCGCCCCTGGGCTGCTTCGAGCCGGCTGACCCCGAGGGGGCAGGGCTGCTGCTGCCGCCGCCTGGGGGAGGCGGCGGCGGCGGCGGCGCGGGAGGTGGCGGTGGCGGCGGGGTGGGCGTCCCCGGGCTGCTCGTGGGCTCTGCCGGCGTGGGGGGCGACCCTAGCCTGAGCAGCCTGCCGGCTGGGGCCGCCCTGTGCCTCAAATACGGCGAGAGCGCGAGCCGGGGCTCGGTGGCCGAGAGCAGCGGCGGCGAGCAGAGCCCCGACGACGACAGCGACGGCCGCTGCGAGCTGGTGCTGCGGGCAGGAGGGGCCGACCCGCGGGCCTCCCCGGGCGCGGGAGGCGGCGGCGCCAAGGCGGCCGAGGGCTGCTCCAACGCCCACCTCCACGGCCTCGCCGGCGCCCCCCCGGGGGGTCCCGGCGGCGGCAGCGGCGGGGGTAGCAGCAGCGGGGGCGGCGGGGGCGGCGGCAGCAGCAGCAAGAAATCCAAAGAGCAAAAGGCGCTGCGGCTCAACATCAACGCCCGGGAGCGCCGGCGGATGCACGACCTGAACGACGCGCTGGACGAGCTGCGCGCGGTGATCCCTTACGCGCACAGCCCCTCGGTGCGGAAGCTCTCCAAGATCGCCACGCTGCTGCTCGCCAAGAACTACATCCTCATGCAGGCGCAGGCCCTGGAGGAGATGCGGCGCCTAGTCGCCTACCTCAACCAGGGCCAGGCCATCTCGGCCGCCTCGCTGCCAAGCTCCGCGGCCGCGGCGGCGGCGGCCGCTGCCTTGCACCCGGCGCTCGGCGCCTACGAGCAGGCTGCCGGCTACCCGTTCAGCGCCGGGCTGCCCCCGGCCGCCTCCTGCCCGGAGAAGTGCGCCCTGTTCAACAGCGTCTCCTCCAGCCTCTGCAAACAGTGCACGGAGAAGCCTTAAACACCGCCCCCCCCCCCGCCCCGAAAAACACAAGAGCGACCCAAAAGCTAGAGGAAAGTGAAAAGCTGCCCTCCACCCACTTTTTTTTTGGTCCTCTCCTAGTTGTGAAACACTTGCAGAGCAAAGCAGAGGCGAGAACTGAGGAGGAGTATCAGAGACAAACCGGACTCTTAGCCTTGACATCCCCAGAATCTCGGTCTTTGGGGTGGGGAGGGAGGGAGGAGGGAGGTGCAGTTTGGACGGAGTATGGATGTCTTTTTTCTCAGAAAAGTGGCAACTTTGGTGGCAGCCTAGACCGCAAGGAAGCAGAGTTTTCCTTTAAGCTTAAAAATAAGTGGAGAAGTAGTCGCTTGGTTATTAAGCGTGGAGAGTATGAAATGGCAAAATACTAATCTTACTAATAAGTGTGAATTTGGCTGGTGCTGAGAGGGAGAGGAGGAGTCCGGGGTTGGGTGGCGTGTGGGATGGAATATTCATTCAGACAAATCAGAAAGGGCACTTGAAAATAAATTTTGATTCTGAGCCAGGAGAAACACTTGAAATGTAGACTTATTTAAGTGAAAAAAGAAAAAAAAAAAAAAACTCAACCAGAAAGAGACACGTTGCTATGAAAGACTTGTATTTTTTATTGTCTCTGAACTTTAATCCTGTGAAAATGCTCAAAAGTTTTGGCAAGAGTGATATAAAAAACTGACTGTGGCTGAAAGGATTGCATTAAAAAATATTTATGTGCACCTTGTTACCTTCCACTCTGCAATGATGTATTAACAAGTCATAGTATTTATTTGTTATTCTTCAATGACCCTTCCACATCAACAGTATTTATCATGTGTTAAGGTCATGGGTCTTGTGTGCAGATTTTTTTTTAATGCCTCTAAAATTCTGTTTTATAGATTAACTTATACTGTGTGCCAAGTGTTTAAAAGGTTTATTTGCCAACAAGTATGAAGAGACATATTGATGTATCTGGGCTGCTTAGGTTTATCAAAGATCACCTGGATATTTTCAGTTGCATCATCCCTGTATTTAAATTGAGCTTTAATAAATTGCTTCAGTCCAAAAATTACAGGAAAGGTGTATTCTTAATTGATGAATGAATTGATCTCTTTTTTAAAAGGGAAATCCTTTGCATTCTAAAAGGGAAAGACATCACAGCAATAGACCCTATAAGTAAGAACATGCTAAGCAAATATTGTTCCAGGCTGTGCTGTGCATTTTTAAAAGGTCTAATTTAATTGCTTTTATTATATATGTACATATATAAGTTATTTTAACTGTGGAGAATTATTTAAGTTAAAAGACTGGTTTGATTTGCCTATGGTGTGAAATCCTTTGTTATTTTTCTAAAAAAATAAAATTTAAAAAGAAAGAAAATAAAACTAAGGAAAAGCAAGAAGCTATTTACCCAAAGTGAGCCTTCAGTTTTAGTTTGCATGGCTGTTTGCCTGCCTTTCTATCCTATGAAAATCAAGAAAACCTTTTTTAAAAATGGAGTCCTGCTATTTTCCACCCCTTGCAGATAATACAAATTCAGTTTGTCAGGTTGGATGGCGAGTTGGGAGCTGTGGGGGATCCATTGGCTGGTTTTGGATGTGTAAAGAATGATATATATATCAAATAGGTCAATCAGACTATGACAGCTATGTATGACCATTTGTATGTGTATCTATGTCAGAAGAATCTTTATTAAAATATTTTGATCAAACATTTTATTATGCTGTGCTTTGTGGAAGGAGCCATCACCTCTCTTCTGTGTTACTCTTTGCTTGAAAGGTAACAAAAAAGAAAGGAGTTTCAAAGAAGCTGGAACTAAAGTTTTGGCAGGGATACCCAGCTGTAGCCCTAGTTCACTTGTTTGCTTGTTAAAAGGATGGTGGCTGGGCCTGGTCATTGGAGGAGAGACAAATGGGGTCAATGGTGAGAGGCAGAGGAGATCCGGAGTCCCTGTCTGCTGGTATGAACTTTGAAGGCCATGCTCTCTCCGGAATTCTTTTCCCACTTGCCTGGCACTGTTAACCATGCCAGGACCCATGAGAGGGGGTAAAGTTTCTTAAAGAGTTTTCATCAAAAATTCTATCTCCAGCTGCCTGAAAGCCAAGGAGAAGAGATGGATTTGGATTCTCTGAGGATGAATTTTATTGTGGCATTCCACTTTTTTTGTGACAGAAGAATCCACCAGGTTGAACTCGAAGCGTAAGCAATGCCCATAGAGATTTTCAGAACTTACTGGTGTTGCTTGTTAATGAGATTTTTAGGGACCATGCTTGGACTTGGTTGGGCATTGATTCTATTGAAGGATGTCTGTATGGGCCTGTATTTGGACTTTAATAATGCCCTCAGAAATAGAAGGCTTGATTTTTATTGTGGTGGAGGCTGTAGAAATGGTGGTGGTGAAGTTAGAGTATTTCCTCTGTAGGCAGTATGCTCAATGCATTTTTGTCTGTATGGCCTCTGCTCATAATGACATCCCTAAGTGCCATCAGACTTAGTGGGGGGTGAGGGAGGATATTTTCTGCTCCACTTGCCATCAAAAAAGATTAATCAGAACCTGTAACTTTTCAGAAAACATAACAGCAAAGGGCCTTGAAGCTGGAGCCCTCCCAGTCTGGAAGGGAGGGGAGAGACCAGGGCAGCCCCCAGGCAGGAAGAGACCCGTCTCTCAGCATTTACCAGACAAAGCCTGGGTGCGTCTAATTATGATTATTAAAACAATTTCCATGACGATGTCTAATATTATGTTAATTTGAAAACAACTGTGTATGAAAACTGTCGACTATAATACCTAAATTCATTTAATGAAACACATCGTTAAGGCAATTAAACCTCCTGGATGTGATTAAGAAACATAATTACGACACTGTTCTGTGCCATAATTGGGTGTCTTTAATCAAGGGGTAAAGTGATCAGCAACACAGCCATTAGTTTGTATTGTTCTGGCCCTGCTGTCCATCATTCTGATTAGGAATTAACCACGGCCACCATCAGTCGAATTTTTTTTTTCCTTTTGCATATTAACATTGTGGGGGACACGTTTGCTGCAAGATTTACTGCTTACTATTTCTCATTATTAAGAAGCCCTCCTTGAAATACTTCCTCTGCAACCTCTGTACTGTTCAACTATTATTAGAAATTGTAAAAATAACAAATCTTGAACTTCAGGAGAAAAAGAAATGCTCACCCGCCTTTAATAACTCAATTTCCAGTCTTAGTCCTGAGAGAGACTGGGGGTGGATGGGGGTGGGGAAAAGAGAGGATGTTGAGAATAAGTTGAAATGTCAGACTAATGTGTACAATTATTAAAAGTAGCAGGGTTGATAATATTAATTTTCATTGTGATAATTTCCGACAAATCAATTCTCTTACCACATCTAGAAAGTGGCCAGCCTATAGTTCTAGGAATAAACGTAGGACATCTGAAAGGAACAGAAGCAGTGTTTTCGGTGATTTACTTAGGTGACCCTCTCTGCCCTAACCCAACGTTTCCAAAGTTTCTTCAGCAGCAGCCTTTAGAGAAAGAAACCGACAGTTGGAGAGACAATTATTGCCCCACCTGGCAAAGCCCAGGGGCCGCTTTGCTTCTGAGGTTTGAGTCCTGAATTTTGGGCCAGTCTGGAAAGTTGGCTCGCACACTTGTGGGCCCCAGATGTCCTTCCAGTATGGAGCATCCACGTCAGGACTGGGTAACTGAGCATCAGGGGTATCAGTGTGGGTTTCCGGAAGGGCCTTTGGGCCAGAGCAAACAGCCTGTCCCCTAAGACTGCGGCGTACCAGACTGCCGGAGCACCTTGACCACCCCTGAGCCTGCTGCGACGCCCACCGCGCCTTGGGGCGCTTCCCCACGGGCGCAACCCGCCTGGCGGACCTTGCTGCTTGTGTTTTTTAGGAAACAGAGTGGGCAGATGAGGCCGAGAGAGGACCCAGAGTCCCACTTGGCCTTTTATTCCACCGGTTTCCTTCTCGAATTTCTCTCTAATTTCAATTTCCTTCTCTAATTTATAATTCCCACTTAGGTCCCATCTCCAGTTTAACACTGGGCACCTACAGAAGCGTCGGGGCTTTTTGTGGACTCCTATAGGACCAGCAAATGATCATCTTCGAAGAGCTTGCTAGTTACCCCTCCTTCTCCCTCCTCGTGGTGCATCTCAGTGTGTGTGTGTGTGTGTGTGTGTGTGTGTGTGTGTCTGTATGTGTGTATATGTGTATTCGCGCGCGCGCGCACTGCGCGGTGCGCTCTCCACTTTCCGCAGCTGGGCGTCCCCTCCAAGACCCTGAGTTGAGCTTAAATTCCTCTCCCTCCTATCCCACCCGCCACCCATCCTTACTGAGGACTGCTCGCTAGGGAAGGAGCTGGGCTCAGGAGCTTCGCTTCTCCATGCACTCTTGGTCCCGGACGCCAGAACCACCTTCCTTCTCGCCCCAGACCCTGGGATTCCTCCAGTATGAGTGGCATTGACTTCCAATGTAATGACTTATGAAAGATATAATCATGTGTTAAATTGAATCCTCCGTTTAACTGTTAATGGTGTGCTCTGGGCACATTTACGTATTAGATGCTATGGTAACTAATTACCACTAGGAAAAAGGATAATACACTTCCTAGACTTTGAAAAATAATGATGAGAGTTCACTTCCCGGCTCGCAGCACATTGTGGCGGCTCTGCCGGGCGGAGCGACGGAGCGAGTGGAGACCCGAAAGTGTGCTCACGGAAGGCAGGAGGTAATGAATCCTGGTCAGGAGAGGCTCCTTCGTAAAACCTTTAATGAAGATGTGATTCAGATGGGGAGGTGGGGTGAGGGGGAGGCTTAACCACACAGTGGCGCCTCTAAACAAAATTAAATTGCAAAACATAAACACCAGGAACATAAATAAGTTTTCTTTTAATTAAAATGCAGGTCAGACTAAATTATCCATGTGCCAAGCAACTTTACATCGCTTAACGTCTTTTGTTGTGCGGGCAAAATAAAGGAGCCCGTCTCCTGCGCGCTCTGCGTTGGCACTTGTTAACTCGGATGCCCCTGGATTTGCCAAGCCAGTGAGCTGCAGGTTGATTTAAATTTGGCCTTTTAAATCAAACATGGGGCACAGTAGACGGAAGGAGGGAAACAGGAGGGAAAGCCAGGAGATAGTAACTTAAGTTTGAGTTGAAACAACACACGGGGTAGGAGTCTTTTTCTCCCTGCCGAATTTCTGGCTCTTCTGATCCATTGATGCATGATTACTAGAACCAGGGTTCTCTGTAGGCTGTGCGGAATAACTACGTGTCTACTTTGCCCCATGGCCAGGGCAAGTGTTTATGCTGGGGACCTGGGGCAGCAGGAGAAGGGAGGGGGCGGCTTTCCAGCAGACCGGCCAGCCAGCCCAAGGTTGCAGACAGAACGACGTCCGCAATACGCGCGCCCACAGCGCTGCTCTGCTTGCGCTGCGCCACAGGACGGACTCGGAATACACAGCCGCAGAGCACCCTTTCTCCCAGTGCCCCCGCTGGACTGGAGTTCTGGCCCCTCCTGAGGGCACAAAGCCAATCCAACCTCCAAGTTGCTTGGGACAAAAAGGGAACTTCAGGGCCCTGCCTCAAACTCTCTTTTGGGAGATGGCACAAGGATCGGGTTTTCCCTTGCACCCCCCTGGCCTGGTGGGTTCACCTGCAAACGCCAGGCTTGTCAGGACCACCCCGCTGCCGCGGCAAACCCGAGAATTCCGCGAAAGTGCCCCAGTTTTAAACTTCAAAGAACAATTCGCTTCCTAGCAGGGCAGGGAAACTCTTTACTCGCTTTCCCTGAGGTTTGATTTGGGTTAAATTGTACCAATTTTTCTAAATGACTCGTCTTAACCCGATCCAGGAGACTTCTGGACTATTGCAAAATTACCAAGCACTCTTGACTCTTGAGTGCGTGTGTAACTTTTCTTTCTTTCCCTTCCCCTGTGTTCTCTAATTCGGGCAATATAAAAATCCAGATTAGAGAGCTCTGGAAGAGAAATGGCTGGGCTGGGAAGGTTAGATAGACTGCAAAGGCAAAGAGCACTTTGCAGTTACCCCCCCCCTCCCCCCACATGATGGACAAGCC